CGAAAATGGGGCTCAAAAATAAGGATTTCAAGGTTGAAAATGGCTGAAAAGTCCTGATTCCGAGGTGAGAGCTAGGAAGCTAGAAAACTCAGTTTGTGTCTTTAAATCACTGAAATTCGGATTTTTTAGTGTTGAAACGACTGGAAATGGCTGAAAATAAGCGATTTTCGCCCAATTTTGAGCCTAAAACCTCCCAATTTTTTCCAGGAAACGCTCCACGGATGGTTTGGCTCGTCTCTCGGACATTGAGCATTTCTACAAGAAGAAACGGCAGACGAAGGAGGAACGAATGGCTGATATTGCCGCTGGAAGAGCTGACGAGGACTACAAGTTCGGAAGGCCAAAGAAAAATGTGAGTTAGGCTGAAAATTAGGCTGAAAATGACCCAAAATTCGACTGAAATTGACTGAAAAATGACTGAAAAAGTTCCAAAATCGTAAATTGGAGCGAAAAATGAGCTGAAAATAAACTTAAAATGACCCGAAATCTGGCTGAAAATGAGCTGAAAATGATGAAAATTCAAGTAAAAATGAGAAATTCGTCTGAAAATAAGCTGAAAATGGCTGAAATTAGCTGAAAACGACCCGAAATTAGACTGAAAATGTCGAAATTTGACTGAAAACGGCATTAATTGGACTAAACATGAGCTAGAAATAGTCTAAAAATAGCTAAAATTTGACTGAAAAAGAAGAGCTGGGAATTACAGAAATTTGTATCAAAAAGTGCTGAAAACGGCTGAAAATAGGCTTCAAATACGCTAAAAATGATATGAAAATGCGGCTGGAAATGAGCTGAAAATAGCTGAAATTTGAATGAAAATGGTTGAAAATGATGACCCAAAAATTATCAAAAATCAGCTTTAAAAAATTAAAAAATTAGAAAAAAAAATGCTGAAATTTGTCTTAAAAAGACCCAAAATCGTTGAAATTTTTGAGAAGAAAAATCTGAAATTCGCCTGAAAACCAAAAATTTCGAAAAATTCGTGCCTAAAATAGTAACCTGAAATAATAGCCTATAATAGCCTTAAAAGTGTATGAAATAGCTTTAAAAGGGCTTAAAATAGCCTGAAAAGTGCCTGAAATAGCCTTAAAAGTGCCTAAATTAGCCTGAAAAGTGCCTAAATTAGCCTTAAAAGGGACTAAATTAGCCTGAAAAGGGCCCAGGCCAGCCTTAAAAGTGCCTGAAATAGCTTTAAAAGGGCCTAAATTAGCCTGAAAAATGCCTAAATTAGCCTTAAAAGGGCCTAAATTACCCTGAAAAGTGCCTAAATTAGCCTGAGACGGGCCTAAATTAGCCTGAGACGGGCCTAAACTAGCCTTAAAGGGTCCTAAACTAGCCTTAAAGGGGCCTAAATTAGCCTTGAAAGGGCCTAAATTAGCCTGAAAAGTGCCTAAATTAGCCTGAGAAGGGCCTAAATTAGCCTTAAAAGGGCCTAAATTAGCCTTAAAAAGGCCTAAATTAGCCTGAAAAGGGCCCAGGCCAGTCTTAAAAGTGTATGAAATAGCTTTAAAAGGGCTTAAAATAGCCTGAAAAGTGCCTGAAATAGCCTGAAAAGTGCCTAAATTAGCCTGAGACGGGCCTAAACTAGCCTTAAAAGTGCCTGAAATAGCCTCAAAAGGGCCTAAATTAGCCTGAAAAGTGCCTAAATTAGCCTACGAAGGGCCTAAATTAGCCTTAAAAGGGCCTAAATTAGCCTTAAAAAGGCCTAAATTAGCCTGAAAAGGGCCCAGGCCAGTCTTAAAAGTGTATGAAATAGCTTTAAAAGGGCTTAAAATAGCCTGAAAAGTGCCTGAAATAGCCTTAAAAGTGCCTAAATTAGCCTGAAAAGTGCCTGAAACTGGAAGCAAGCTAAAATTCGAGAAATTTGACTAAAAATGACCCAAAATATTCGACTGAAAATATAAGCGGAAAATTGCCTTAAAATAGGCTGAAAATGATGAAAAAATTGACTAAAAATGCCCCAAAATCGTAAAATTAAAGCAAAAGAATGAGTTGAAAATTAGATTTCGGAAATCATAAAAATTCAAAATAAAATCCTTAACAGAGCTCATTTAGGCCTCATTTAGGCCCTCTTTTAGACTTGTCCTAGGCTAATCTAGGCCTGTCCATAATGCTAAAAAGCTCAATTTTGGGCTGAAAAACTAACATTTTCAGCTAATATCCTGGAAAATTACTGGAATCTAGTCGAAAACAATTAAACTATTTGGTTTTTTTATACATTATTTGCTCATTTAGGCTCATTTAGGCCCTTCCTAGGCATATTTATACCTAATTTCAATGCTAAAAAGGCTCATTTTTGAGCTGAAAATCTCAAATTTTCAAGAATTTTCACTTAAAAAAATGTTTTTTCCAGGGAGCACACGTCGGTCGTACCAACGAGCAGAACTCGAAGAAGAAGGTGTTCGCGATGGTGAAGAACAAGGTGCGTGGGCGTAATCGACAGCGATCGTTCCGCGATCAACAGAAGTCGCTGCGGAACTATTTGATGCGACAGTCGGGACGAAAACCTGGAAATGCCTAGAAATATTATTGAATGTTTTCAGTTTTTCTGTTATTTTTGAATCTTCTTGTTATTCCCCCCTTGTTGTTTTTGAATCGCTGAAAAAATCGATTTTCAGCCATTTTCAGTCAAATTTTTTTTTCTGAAAATTTCAAATTTTTGCTATGTTTAATTGTGTTTTTGTTGGTTATTTTCGAATAAAATAAAATTCAAAAATTATTTTTTTTTTATTAAAAATTTTTTTTTTTAAAACTTATTTTAATTGAGCATTTTTTTTTCGCCAACCGAAAAATTGCTCAGCATTATTTTAAAAAAAAATATATATTTATTTTGTTTTTCAGATTTTTTTCCAAAAAAAAATTTGTCTGGAAATTAAAAAAATGAAAATTTTTGAAAAATTTCAATTTTTCTGAAATTTTCAGAATTTTCAAAATTTTCAGGCAAACAATTTTTTTTCCCGATTTTTGCAGAAAATGGAATCCGTGCACTGTTTCCATTGTTATCGTTTCCCGTCGAAATCGCTGGATTTCTATATTTCCAACTGTATGCATGTGTTCTGTGTCGATTGCAAACAATCGTGTCAACCGGATATTCTGGGTACTACGGTAGTTTTTGAGATAATTGGCTTGGTGGGAAATTTGAAATTTTTGAAAAAAAAAAAAATTTTTTTCAAATTTTTTGAAATTCTCTAAGCTTAAAATTTGCCCTTTTTTCAGAAGTACTAAGAAAAAAATTTGAAAATTTCAAATTTTTCCGGTTAGGCGGGAAATTAAAATTTTTGAAATATTTTTTTTTTCAAAATTTCAAAATTTTAATTTTTCAGAAAAAAAAATTCCCAATGAAAATTGCTGAAAATCATTAAAAACTGCATTTTTTTGAATTTTCATTCAAAATTCTGAGATTCGGCGGGAATTTGAAATTTTCAAAAAAAATTTTTTTTCCGAAAATCCAATTGTTACAGTACCCGCCCAGTGTATTCTCTGCCATATCAAACCGATTCGACTGCTCAAAATGGGACCAACCATGCCGGAAACTGTAAGAAAAATTTTCCAAAAAAAAAAAAATTTTTTTTTCAAATTTTTAAATTTTTTAAAATTCTGAAAATGCTCTGAAATCATTAGAAATGGTCTATAAATCGTATAAATATTTGAAAAATTCACAAAAAACGCTCTGAAAATCGCAAAAATGCGATTTTTAGTTTTAGGCCATTTCAGGCCATTTAGGCCCGATTTCAGGTCTTTCTTGCAGGTAAAAAGCATGTTCACCCCGATTTCCGAGGATTTGAAAAAGTTTGAGACGGAGGTGACACGTGTCTACACATTCCAATACCGGCAACGGCATCACTTGATAAGTGGGCTGACGAAGAAGGAGAATGCGTTTGATAAGCTTCGAGACGCTTATCAGTTCGAGAAGAAGAAAAAAGAGAATTATAAAGAGTGAGAGGCCTGATTTTTAGGCCCATTTAGGCCTTTTTTCGGCGAAAATCGGCCGATTTTGAGCCATTTTAGGCGCTCCTAGTCCTTTTTTGAGCCGATTTAGGCTCTTTAGGCCTTTTTTCGGCTGAAATCGGCCGATTTTGAGCCATTCTAGGCTTTTTAGGCCTTCCTTAGGCTGATCTAGGCCTTTATTTGCCAATTGTGAGTCATTGTAGGGACGTTTAGGCCTTTCTTAGGCCTTTCTTAGGCTGATCTAGGCCTTCCTTAAGCTGTTACAGGCCTTTATTTGCAAATTTTGAGTCATTTTAGAGTCTGGTCTTTTAGGCCTTTTTAGGCCCTTCTAAGGCTGGCCTAGGCCTTTCTTAGGCTGATCTAGGCCATTGTTAGGCTAACCTAGGCTTTTTAGGCTGGTTTAGGTCTTCTTTCTGCCGATTTTGAGTCATTTTAAGGTCTCCTAGGCCTTTGTAGGCCTTCAGGCCTTTCTTAGGCTGGTATATCCCTTTTCAGGATTGTCTAGGCCTTTTCTAAGATGATTCAGGCATTCTTAGACTGGTTTATCCCTTTTTAGGATTATCTAGGCTTTTTAGGCTGGTCTAGGCCTTTCTTAGGCTGACCCTCATATTTGCCTTAAAAAGGACCATATATCAGCCTGCAAACGCCTAGGAAACAGCAAAAAAATGCCTATTTGCCTAGCTTTAGATCATTCAGGCTGATCTAGGCCACACTAGGTGTGATTAGGCCCATTTCAGGCCCTTCTCCAAACTAAAAAACTATACATAAAGTGCCTGAAATAGAATGGAAAGGGCCTGAAATAGCCTGAAAATTTCTAAAAAGACCTATGAAATGCCTAAGATAGCCTAAATAGTGCCTAGGATAGCCTGAAAAGTGCCTAGGAGGGCCTAGAATAGCCTGAAAAAGGCTTGAAATAGCCTTAAAAGAGCCTAAATTAGCCTTAGCAAGGCCTAGAATAGCCTGAAAAGTGCCTAAAATAGCCTTCGAAGGGCCTGAAATAGCCTCTACAGGGCCTTAAATAGCTTCAAAAGGGCCTAAATTAGCCTGAAAAGTGCCTAGAATAGCCTGAGAACGCCTAGAATGCCTATTTGCCATGCTTATACCATTCAGGCTGATCTAGGCTTTTCTAGGCCTGACTAGGCCCATTTCAGGCCCCTCTAAACTCAAAAATCATGCTTTTTGCAGCCAACTAGACAACATGACCCGCCTCCTTCAAGCCAAGGAGCTGGAAATCTCGGAACTCCGCCTCGCCAACATTCGATTCCAGCAAGCTCCGCCCCCTTCGTCCACCCAGACTCCGCCCACTTTTGCTGAAAAATCGGCGACGCCGTCGATGATCCGGGTGTTCACGGATTCAATGTATCAGGGAAAGGATTCAGAAGCACATTCAGAAGACGTCGGAATTCTGGGAATGAGGAAAACGAAAAATGTGGAGGCGGCGCAGAGAAAAATTATGGATATTCCACCGTTTAGAAAGTGAGCCTAAAATAGCCTAAAAAGTGCCTAAAATAGCCTATAAAATGTCTTTAACAGCCTTAAAAGTGCCTAAAACAGCCTTAAAAGTGCCTAAAATAGCCTGAAAGTACCTAAAATAACCCAAGACGTGCCTAAAATAGCTTTTGCAGGGCCTAAAACAGCCTTAAAAGTGCCCAAAATAGCAAAGTGCCTAAAGTAGCCTTAAAAAGCCTAAAATAGCCTAAGACGTGTCTGAAATAGCTTTTGCAGGGCCTAAATTAGCCTTGAAAGTGTCTAAAATAGCCCAAGAAGTGCCTAAAAGGGCCTAGAAAGTGCCTAAAATAACCTTTAAAATGCCTAAAATCCTATAAATACCTAATATGACTTTAAAAATGCCTAAAATAGCTTAAAAAGTGCCTAACAGGGCCTAGCAAGATCCTAAAGTACTCTAGTAAGTGCTTAAAATAGCCCAAGAAGTGCCTAAAATATTCTAAAAGTGCTTAAAATAACCTTAAAAGTGCCTAAAATGGCCTAAAAAGTGCCTTAAATAGCCTAAAATAGCCTGAAAAGTGCCTAAAAGGGCCTAGAAAGGGCCTAAAATAGCTTTTGCAGGGCCTAAAATAGCCTTAAGTGTGCCTAAAAAGTGCCTAGAAAATGCCTAAAATGGCCGTAAAAGTGCCTAAAATAGCTTAAAAAATGGCTAAAATAGCCTAAAAAGTGCCTAAAATAGCCTAAAAATGGCTAAAATAGCCTAAAAAGTACCTAAAATAGCCTAAAAAGTACCTAAAATAGCCTAAAAAGTACCTTAAATAGCCTAAAAAGTGCCTAAAATAGCTTTTGCAGGGCCTAAAATATCCTTAAGTGTGCCTAAAAAGTGCCTAGAAAATGCCTAAAATGGCCGTAAAAGTACCTAAAATAGCCTAAAAAGTACCTAAAATAGCCTAAAAAGTACCTAAAATAGCCTAAAAAGTACCTAAAATAGCCTTAAAAATGCCTAAAATAGCACTTTAAGTGCCTAAAACAGCCTAAAAAGTGCCTAAAATAGCCTAAGAAGTACCTAAAATAGCCTAAAAAGTACCTAAAATAGCCTAAAAATACCTAAAATAGCCTAAAAAAATGCCTAAAACGGCCTAAAAAGTGCTTAAAATAGCTTTTGCAGGGCCTAAAATAGCCTTAAGTGTGCCTTAAAAGTGCCTAGAAAGTGCCTAAAATGGCCGTAAAAGTGCCTAAAATAGCCTAAAAAATGGCTAAAATAGCCTAAAAAGTACCTAAAATAGCCTTAAAAATGCCTAAAATAGCTTAAAAAGTGCCTAACAGGGCCTAGCAAGATCTTAAAGTACTCTAGTAAGTGCTTAAAATGACCCAAGAAGTACCTAAAATATTCTAAAAGTGCTTAAAATAACCTTAAAAGTGCCTAAAATGGCCTAAAAAGTGCCTTAAATAGCCTAAAAAGTGCCTTAAATAGCCTAAAATAGCCTGAAAAGTGCCTAAAAGAGCCTAGAAAGTGCCTAAAATAGCTTTTGCAGGGCCTAAAATAGCCTTAAGTGTGCCTAAAAGTGCCTAAAATTGCCTAAAAATGCCTAGAACGGCCTTTTTTCAGACACAAATCAATGACGTGCCAACCATCGTCGAAACAGGCGTCCCGTGCTCCACCATCCGCCCCATTTTCAGACGATTCTAATTTTCAGACACCACGAGTCGCAGCAGTGAAGAAGGATCTGAAAGGGTACAGTAATCTGAAAAATTTGGAAAACATTTTTTTGTGGAAAATTCATTTTTCAGCTTTTAATAATTCTAAAATCTAACGAAAATTCTGAAAATTCAATTTTTTCAAAATTTTCAAATTTCAGATTTTTTTTCAGATTCACCACCCCAGCCAACCCGCCCCACATGTTTCCATTCATCAAAAAGTTCGAAATGCAGGCCAAAACGACGGCGCGCGCCCCAAAAATCGATAATCGTTCTTCTCAACATAGCCAATAGAATTTTGGAAAAAAATCGATTTTTTGAGATTTTCAGACTTCTCAGAGTCCTCTAAGTTTTATATTTCATTTTATTATGTCATCCCTTTCATTTGATCTCTTTATTTGAATAAAACCATTTTTTAATAATAGAATTAAAATTACAAACAAAAAAAATCTGAAAATCTGGAATTTGAAAATCGGAATTTAAAAATCCGGATAATCCCAAATTTCGAAAATTTAAAAACTGAAAAAAAACTCTGAAATTCCGAAATTTTGAAAACTCGGATTTTCCAGATTTTCAGAATTTCTGGAATTTTCAAAAAGTTCAGAGTTTTTGAAATTGTGATTTTTGGAATTTTGTGAAAAATGGAATCCGGACCCAGGAGTCCGGACCCGGAAATCCGGAATTTCTGATATCAAGACAAACATTTTCGCTTTTAGAATTTGCAAATATCTCTTACAGGAATCGAGATATATTTGGTCAAAGTCGTTGATTCCTAAATGGATTTTTTAAATTTAGAAATAAATAATTCGAATTGCCATAATTTGCTTTATAGCCATCTAAACCGAATGAAATTTACATTTTTGAATTTCCAATGTTTTGCGCTTCAAAATGAGTATAAACACGACTATGTTTGAAAAATCGATTTTTTTAAATTTGTGCACTTTTCGTGGTGGGACCCAAAAAGTGTAAAACTACCGTAACTCAGCTATTTTTGAACCAAATCTAAAAATTTTTGCAGATTTCAGTTTGCCTTGTTTAGAGCTTCAAAATGAGTATAAACACGACTATACTTCAAATTTGTGGATTTTTACGATTTTCGTGGTGGGACCCTGCCAGTTTAAAACTACCGTAACTCGGATACTTTTTGACCGAATCCAAAAATTTTTGCGGATTCAAATTTATCTCGTTTAGAGCTTCAAAATGAGTATAAACATGACTAGGTTTAAAATTTAAAGATTTTTATGATTTGCGGGTGTGTGTGCATTTTTGGGCAAACATTTCAATTCGCTGTAACTTGCTTCATTTTTATCGAATACGTATGAAATTAACAAGGAATCCGGAATCCGGAATGTCTGATATCAAGACAAACATTTTCGCTTTTAGAATTTGCAAATATCTCTTACAGTAATCGAGATATATTTGGTCAAAGTCGTTGATTCCTAAATTCTGCAATTTCTAAAATTGGAGATTTCCGAAAGATTACTTTTTGCGAGACAGCAAAAATTTCGGGTGACAGTTCGGGGGACGAAATCGCGCCGCGCTTATGTAGGCCATCGGTCGGCAGGCACCTTCGCACCCCCGTAGCTCAGCCGGTAGCGGCGCTGTACCCCTGAGCTGCCTGCCATAAGTTCAACCCCTCATGGGGGTTCTCTATGCAAAATATCAGGAAAACTTTTTTTTTATGTCTGGCCTCCTTTAAGAAAAAAATTAATTAAAAAATATTTTTGGAAAAATATATAAAAAAATTTAAAAATCAAAAAATTTCTGAATTTCCGTTTTTCAATCTATTCGGATGACTTTTTATCGATTTTCCGTGATTGGCTTCCAAGTAGATTTTCACATTTTCATCATCATCGAAATTGATTCGTTTTTTAAGAATTTCCAGAGCCAAATGGTGGATTTTGTCTGAAAAAAAATCATAATTTGAAAAAAACTTTGAACTTTTCAGAATTTCTGAATTTCAGAATTTCTGAATTTCATCTACCTCAATTTTGCAGTTTTTTCTTTTGTTCTAAAGAATTCAATTATCATAAAACACTTTTTTGTCTTCTAAGATTCTAGAAAATTCCCATGGGATTCCAAGAAACCTAATTAAAAAGACACTCTTCTAGATTAGAAAATGCGCCAGTTTTCTCAGTTTTCATTTTTTTTTTCGAATTTCTGAATTTTGGAATTTCTGAATTTCTGAATTTCTGAATTTCTGAATTTCTGAATTTCTGAATTTTTGAATTTCTGAATTTCTGAATTTTTGAATTTCTGAATTTCTGAATTTCTGAATTTCTGAATTTCTGAATTTCTGAATTTTTGAATTTCTGAATT